ATTTGTCATAAAATCATAAAACTAAAAAGCGCATGATTGAATTGAAAAGCGGCTAGCTGGTTTGCTGGGCGAAAGTATTCGCGCGTATAAATGTCCATTTTAACTGTTACTAATGTAAGTTTTCATATGCCGCATCTACTAAAGGAATTGAATAATTAAATGAAAACTATCTTTCAGCCATGGTATGATAAGATGTAATAAGTAAGGAATGGTCAATCGGTTTTTATAGGCGTGGCATTCGATTTTCCCCTATTTATAAAAATTAGCCAGATACGAAAATAAGCATACGCTTAATAATTCGAAAAATGTGAGAATAAGCGTCTGAATTTTTTTACATTTGTTGAATAATTGTTCAAGTATTTGTATAAAAATTGGCCATGAATTTTGAATAATGTGAGAGTATGGAATTTTGCATTATGTTGTTTATTTATTTATTTATTTTAATTCTACTTATGTATGAAACTCAACTAAACAAATAACAGTCGAGTTCAATTGGCACTTAAAGCAAAACTTATATTAATTAATAATAAAACTTAGTATAAGTACAATAAAACATATAAGAAGGAAAAAAAAGAAAAAAGTATGTACACAACCAGCATAGAACCACACTTACAACCGGTACAGGACCAAATTGCAAATGAACCCCTAAGCCATCGCAAACATGCATAAGCCTGGCAACCGATAATACCTAACAACAATTCATTTTCGACTCGTAACGACTTCTAAGGATAAAAGCTAGTTTAAGTACGACATAGGTAAATCACGCGTATTAAGCAATGTTGTTTTAATGGACTTTAAAGAGTCCGATAGAGAGAATAAGTGATAGACGTCATTTAGGTTCTTGCAAACTACTCCAGGCGGATTAACAGCTCATAATTATATTTGCACTGACTAAGCTTAACCCAGATAAAGTGCCTAGAAAAGCGGTTAGAGCCATTAAAGCTTATTTCACGAAGTAATGAAGGAGATCACACAACGGAGGTATACTCGAGTATGGGTCTAACCAAACACATGTACAGCCTCTTCGTAATGTAGCGATCACCAAGCTCTTTGGACCACCTTTTTATAAAACCAAGCGCGGACCTAGCTTTGCTTATCGAGAGCTCAATATGCAAGTTGAAACGTAACCTATGGTCAAATAGAACGCCTAAATCTGTGATCGAATCGACGTCCTCCAACTTATGCGAATCTACGAAATGCTGACTAATGAATGACTTTCTTCTTGAGAAAGAAAGCTTCTTACATTTACTCAGATTTAGTTTCAGAACATTCAAAGAGCACCATGCAACAAAATTATCCAAGTCACCTTGAAGCTGATGTGATTGCGATTCAACAGGAAAGGAAGAAAAAAGTTTCACTTCATCAGCCTACATACAGATCTGGCTGGAATTAACCACCGATGGAAGATCGTTAATGTATAAACTAAATAAAATGGGACCTAAATGACTTCCTTGAGGTACGTTATTGAATTTTGAATTGAATTATGTGAGAGTATGGAATTTTTGAATTATGTTATGGAATTTTTTTTCGTTCTGCTGCTGTAGTTAACTAACTGAAAGCTAAATTTCGTCCCATTTAACAGATCAGATAGATTTTTTATTCACCATTTCTCTTATTTATTTATTTATTTTTACTCATTAAAAGCAAGTCTGTGCTCTGTCCATTCACCACACATAGCACTTTCTACCCTTTACAGCGTTTGACAGGTAAGCTGGAATGCTAGAATGGATTGTTTAAATCTCATATTTTTCGATATTTTTTAGAGGTATTTTTATGGAAAAATTTAATTTGCCGCCCGAAAGAAGCGAACAACATCAACTCCATTCTATATTTGATATCCGCCATTACATCTCCTTCATTTGGTTTTAATTTAGTGTTTGCGTTTCAAAGTAGATACCATCTGTACTTCGATTACATACGATAATTACAAGTACCGCAAGCAGCTATTGCTGTGGATAAAGGGGACCGCTCCGAATTTCTCTCAGGCGGTTCGTTTTGGAAAAGTCCTCAAATATTATATCTACTATTGTCTTCTTTTTGTTGTCACCACGAGTTCCTCCTGGTGCGTCTATGTTGTTGTTTACTTCTTTCATCATAACTTCCACTTCATTGCAACATTCGATTAACTCTTCATCAGTGATATGAAATTCACTTCAAGCAGAATGTGACAACAATTCATGACATGATGTAAATTTTTGCGATGCTGTCAAATTGTCAAAATCGCCTATTGTCGTTTGCGCATAAGGCCGGGAATCCATTAAAGACATAATTTCATCTTCGTATCGACCCGCACTTTTTTCTAAAGCGATATTTTTTTGAATTACCAATGTTTTATTGATATCATTCGGGCCGTCTTCACTTAAGTTGTTCTGCAATTTATGTTTCCTTTGCATCCGCTTCTGATAGACAGATTTGTAGGGTTTTGCTGGTAGAATCGTTAAGAAGAATAGCGGAAATTTTAATATGGGGTGATCAACATGACAGTTCGGTTTTCGAGTAAGCAGCGCTTAATAACTCACTCTTTACAATTATGTATTAATTATTTTCCTTTTTCCAGCTTTTTCTTAGAGAAAAATATGTTATCACACTTTTTGCATATAATTATCTTAATAATTGTGCATAAATTTGATTTTTCTTTTTTTCTTTCCCGTTGATGGAAAAGTTCGCCACCGCTGATCTAGAGAAAAATAATTATCTGATCTAGGCAACATCTAGTTACTTAGGGCAAAAATCTTATGTATTCTGACGAACAGAAAATTATGATCTACTTGTTTGCCATTCCTGGAAGAAAAACTTTAAAGGGACTCAATAATCACAAAAATCTATCCATCTAAACGATCTACAAAGTCTTGCTCTAAACGCAAGACTTTCTCCGTTCTGTGGCTTCACGTTTTCTTTTCCGTTACGTTTTTTGTTTTTATCATCGTTCGCATAAGTTTTTTTTTTTTAATTCGCATCATTACAAGTAAATTTATTATTATTATTATTATTATTACTATAAACTTAGTCACAGAATAAATTCTAAGACTAAAGTCTTAAAGCACTAGCATCTAAGGCTTTCGGCTTTATTATACAAAATACAAGTAAATTTATTTGACCATGTCTACTGTAGAGGGTGAAAAAAAGTTTACAGTGGACACATCTCACACCAATTTCTATACAGGTGGTGATGTTGCTTGGAGTAATGATGGACAATATATGTATTGCATGAATGGAAACGCAGTAAATTTAGTTGAAATTGTAACGGGTTTGGTTAAACGCACGTACGGACTGAATGCAAATGTAAATACTGAAGGCGATAAAGCGTTTAGTGAAGAAGATGAAGACGTTATCTACAGCTTTGCTTTGGCTCCCAGAAGCGATTATTTATTAACTGAACATCGCAGCAGTTTGCTAAGATTGTGGCATTTGGAAGATGGGAAAGTGGGAAAATTATGGAAAAGTCAACACAAAGGACCAATTGTTAAGGTTGCATTTAATCCCGATTGTCGTTTGGATATGACCGCAGAAAACAAATATAAATGTTTTAAATGAATTGATTTCACGAATAAAAGAAGCACGAAATTGCATCTAAACAGTCTTAAAGTTGGTCGCAAGCCATTGGCTGTAATCATAATGAAACTCAACTTATATTTCAATAAATTAAGTAAGCAAGTAGTTGACACAAGAATTGCGCTTGGGTGTCTTACCATATCTTATCCAAAATAAACGTATGCAAACCTATATGAACACCGAAAAATAATTATATATAATTAAAAATTCTAAATAAAGAATTTAATAAAATATATTTTCCATTTCCTCTAACATTACGAATTTTGTATAATATAGTTTAAAAAAAGAGTTCATGTAATATGAGATACAAAATAAGATAAGCGCCCTTTATTTCTGAAAAAAGTTATTTATACTTCCCATTATGTATTTTTATTCTTGTTTTTCTTTTGTCTATATACATTCAAAACCACTCAAAATCATAAAAAGTTGAAGAATTTTTTGAGCTTTTTTCTTTAAGTTTATATTTCATCTAAGTATATTTTCGGCGGTGACATTTACTTTCGGCGGTGTCATTTACTTTCGGCGGTGAGATGTACTTTCGGCGGTGACATTTACTTTCTGCAGCTTCGTTGTGTTCGCTTACATTGTTCTCCAAATGTTCAACTTTTATTCTCAGACGTAGAGAATTTAGCCTTTTTACAATTGTTTATTTTCCTTTTTTAGTCTCCTTCTTCTTCTTCTGTTATTCAGCAAATGTGCAAAAAAGGCCCAATGCGAACATAGAGTTTTTTGTTTGGGCCTTGGTAAATTTAGGGTTAGACTTGGTATATAATATTATTATTTATTAAAGTCTTTTCCGTTTGGCGCGTTGTACATCCGCCACGTTATTTTTTTTAAATTTTTATTAAAATATGCGTATTACTCGTCCGTCCGTAGGATAGCACACAACAACGTGTATGAAGTGTCGTATGAACAAATTGATAAGGGTGAGAGCAAATAAATGAAAAAGAGAGTAGGTTCATAATTTCATTGTAAACGCTCATAGTCTTAATGATATGATTAAAAAAAAAAAAGATCGCGACGTAAGCTATTAAATTGCGAGAACACAAAATGCTGTGGTCACGAAGTTCACATGTACTCAATTTGAGAAGTAAGGAATGGCAAATAGAAGTGGTAAAATTCAGACCGATAAAAAGGATATGATTAGACGATTGTAAGACTCCGCATGTACATCAAAAGTTGGTTATTATGTTAGTTTTGAATAGACTTATGTATTAATTTAAATAATATAAAATAATTGCTATAATTTTATAAATTCATTTTTCCTACAAGGCCTTATTGTGTTTACCACCAATAATAGATAAATTAAAAATCAAATCAGCAACGATACTTAAGCAAAATAACAATGCGGCTATTTCTAACATAAATTTTATTTCCACTGCAAAGTGCTGCATTAAGTTAGATCAAGCTCTACTGAGAAATGAAAAATAGCGGTAACGCTTTAGTTTATGGACAACATGCAGTGCGTTGTTATGCAGAGTATGGAGCGGTTTTCCGATATAATAGAAGGCTTGGAAAATGAAGAATTGGAGGCACGTATAAATGATTGCATTTTACTTCAGACAATTTATTATTAATATATATTTATATGTATTGTGTTGCTGTTCAGACACGTCCAACCGATGCCAGCGCCAAACTATATATAAACTTGTGTGCATATTACCTAGTGGTAAACAAAATGTAAGTTTACTGATAAACAATCACAACCAAACTAAAGTAAAAAATACTTACTATGGTATAGGACGGAAGCCAACCTTTTGTGGAAACGTGTGCCGCAGCATATAAAAGAGGAAAACGATGAGATGCAGAAATTATATTTATTGACGCAGTGCTTGCATTCCAATAATTTATCAAATTTTTTCAGACATATACAGTATGAATGGTCCGATGACATCAAATCGGTAATGGACCAATTGCACCGTAAGTGATTTTTTGTTAAGCAATTATCGTAAGCCTCACAATTTTTACCTATCAGCTAAAAAAGAAGTGCAGAAACTACCTTATTTCTACAATTTTTAGAGATGATTAATTTAATTTCTTAAAGCAATGCCTACAATTTTTTAGTTTTTGGTTCCGTATACAAAATCATACTATTTTAATCATCTCGCGCACAGATCAGTTTAGGTTCTTAAGGTGATTCAGTGGTTTACACGCCAAAGGGTTTACCTGCCTTAAAATATCATATGATGGCAATAGAAATTTGACACCAATTTGTTAGTTTAGTTCCGCGAATAGTGTTAAAACTAAAATGATTCACTATATAATAAAAATGACGATATTGCATTTAATTTTTGTTAAACATATAAAAGGCTCCGGGAATGTCTGCTGAAAATAGAAAAACCTCCTGAAATCTATGTTAAACATACATAATTTGGCGTTTTGGTACTGTGTAGGTTACTTTCTTTATGGATAGGTCTTTGATTGTAATAAGAGTATAATTGATGATAAGGATAATTTAATCTGCCACCACGTCACATGCTTACATACGTACAAAGTTACACTCACACGAAGTAGATGATAAATTTGGTACTAGTTTATGTTGAAGAGCATATTTCTATACGCACCCGTAATGCGAATACTACGGCAACAAAACAAAACGCACAAGAAAGAAAAAATCAAGTAAATTGAGTTGTAAAATCTTACTTTTCGTCTATGCGTTGTTATTAATTTTTTTTTGCTTGATGATTTCATGTGGTTTATTAAATCTTGGTATGTTTGCCGGTTTTGCAAACTTTTAAGATAAAATAATTTAAAAATTTATTTATTACTGAAAAAATTGCGTAAAATAAACGTACATTAAATTCCTTAAAAGATCGAAGATAAAGTTTTATGGCATCGAAATTAAGGTGTGCTCATGAACATGGCAGATAAATCGTTGTAACTTTCCAACCTCATGAGAAACATATCAACTATAAGATATCAAAAGTCAATGCTTTTACAAAGCGTACGAGCTTTCTCAAAAGTCAGTCGGCATTTAGAAACAATATCGGCTCTGTAAAAATTATTTACGAAAATAGTTGCAAGTAATTCACGCCGGATAATTTGGTATATTTTAGAGATGTCAGCTTGTTGACTATTGGCCCTTATGAAATCAATTGATCAATTTTTAGATGGAGTACACAGCCTCCGTTATTTGTGATACAGCCTTGCAGATAGACGAATTTGCTATTAAAGGGAGCTGAGAAAAGAGCAGCAAATTTTTTTTTTAATTACCTTTAATGAATGAAGTTTTAAGACTTTCATTATTTTATTGACAATACGTTCTCTAGGTTTTTTTAAGGCACTTGTGATTTTAATACAGAAAACATACTCACGTTTATGTAATAATTAGCTGTAAATGAATTGCTTTATGTTATAAAACATGGTCTGCGAACTTTATCGCTAAATGCATTGCCAAGTTTAGGCAGTATATCCTAATTCATATGAAAACGCGGCAAAAACTGACAGTAAATCTTGGTAGAATGTGCATTATTTGATTGCTGTAAACAGAATCGGTAATTTTTAATACTCTATTAAATGTTACAAAAATTCTCGGTTTTTTAAAATATGATTTTCTCAAATCACTATATTTTTTTTTTTTCTTAACTTCAGGGGACACAAAAAAAAATGCTCTTACTTTAATTGGAAATGCGTACACTTCAATTTTCGAGCATAACCTATCTGCGATTATGAACATGCCAAAGGATCAGTTGAAGGAAGCGTGCACCGCCCTGGAATGGGATTATGAATGCATTAATCAAAAAGCGATTGTTTTTCCAAAACGCTTACCTCGAACAAAGAATATATACACTAGTTCGGAATATCAATTGTCAAAATTAACTGAATTTGTGTCGTTCCTGGAAAATTAGATGTTCGTATAAAAAATAAACTTCTTGATTTGTGAGTGTAAAATGTAAACTTTTAATTTGTTTGTTTAATTCAAGTGGGAAGGAGACGTCCCATCTCAGAAATTTTCGTAATTGCGCTCATTTTAAGTAAACTTGTTGCTGTCTCCCAATCTGCTTTAAGGGTCTAAATTGTGAACACCAATATGCTAGCCCGTTTCTTACGAGGAGAATATTATATATCATACGCATACACTCCCCTTATTGAAATTAAATTTTCCACGTTGCAGGTCGCTTTCAAGTACTCTATACTTCTTTTCTTATGAGTAGGCAAATTATGTTTGGCAAACGATTTTTGTATATTTTTATTCCATTATTACGAATTTTAATATCTTTTTATGATAAGCGAATACATCTGATCGAAGGAACATACTCAGTATTCCGCGTTGGAAAAGTATGCAATTTTCTCCTCAACATTTTCTCCTCATCAAAAGTCTGACAACGTATTTCTTCAAAATATCTTATCAAACTGAGTAATCACATAAATCCCTTGACAAAATTTATTTTGAATGAATCCAATGGAATAAGAAAATTGAAAAAGATAATACACTGAGTCTTCCATTCAAAAATTCATTTATTTCTGTTCTTTAAATTATTGGTACAAATTTTCTAAGTTCATACAGTTTCTTTTCATTTATTTAAGTATTGTGTTTGGGTATTTATTATCCTTATTACTTATTATCTTATTATCATTTTGGATAAATTGTAAATTAAATACGCAATAAAATAAGAAAACAAGTTATATTAGGAAGTTATATTCGGCGCGAATCTCGCATGCCCGCCACTATGTTTTTCGCGATCTACTCTCCAAGCTCTTTTATTTGATACCCGTACCGCTGGTATTATTAAGAAAAAATTTATCGTGGTGTCTACCAAATTCATTTTAAAATTAAGCTATTTTTAGACAGATAATATACATACCTTCATTTAAGGAGTGCACAAAATAGTTTTCGGTCTTGCTTGCTTTATGAAAAATAAGTACAAAACCCCAAAAACAAACTTTAATCACTTGTGACTTTGTGTCGGCATGGGTTATGTTTTCCATTTCTGCAGTTTACGCTCTACTGCGCGCTTCTGCTCCGACCGACTACGCCAATTTTAAATACCAACCTGCGTGCAGAAACTTCTAATGTTTCTACCAAATTTGAGGTCGATGCCTTCTTTTTTGTGACAAGCAGAGTGCCGAAAACAAACACCACACAGACGTACAGAGGTGGCTAAATTAACTCAGAATTTCACGCTGGTCAAAAATATGTATACTTTAGAGGGTCTCTGAAGCTTCCTTTTGCGTGTTGCTTATATTATGGCAAAAAAACCAAATGACCTATCAAACAGTGGTGGGTATAAAAATACAGATATACTTGGCAAAATAACAATAATCACTCGCCTTTCATTCAAGAAAATTGTATAAGGCTCGTTAAAAGTTATGAATATATTCGAGCGCTTTCGTGGATATCAGTGATTTGGAATTATTCATTATTACGATTTGGAGTTATTCATTATTACGATTTGGAGTTATACGTTATTACGTTCGACTTACATTAATGAAAGTTGCAATTCCCTGACAATAGTAAGGTGATGGGTATGAAGTAAAACTAACATAAAAAAGGCAGATAAGAAAATTATGTTTCATTGCGGCCAATATATATATATATAAAGGTGGTAACCTTTATCTTGAAAAGGTTCAAGAAATAGAAAAAGAGTTACGATACGTTTTAGTCTATCATGTCCATGTAATTACAGTATGAACAGTGTTTACACAATCATTTCGAAACAAGAATGTCTTTTGATTTGAGACATGTAAATTCGAGAATTGCAAAATATAGTCCGGGAAGCACTCCCGGCGGTTCGCTAAAGGTTTCTACTTTCCATTGTTGTTTACGGTGCCGTTGTAGTCATCTATTATTTCCAGAATTCCTTCGTTAACTACAATATACCCATTAATTGTAAGGCAGATTAATATCATGAACATTGTGGGTAATAAAATTTACATTATTGTTTCCTTTTCTACAAACGCGTTTAGTCTTTTAAATATTTTAAGTGATTTTTGTTTTTAATTTGTTTTCGCCTTTGCTTGTAATATTAACAATTTAGTTTTTCTTCGTTGATTTCTTCGATAATCTTCACGTTTTTTACTGCAACAATTTGATAAAATTACACTTCACCGGAAATCGCGTCACTGTTATTTTGTTCTTCTTAATATCAAAGTTTCTTTTTTTACATGCAGTTCACTAGGTTTTCTCTAAAGTTGCTTATATTCCGACAAATCTTTACATTAATTTTTATGTTAATGTAGAAAATCAATGTAGAATTTTATCCTACCATCCTCCTCCTTTTTTCTGCCATAAGTGCATAAGTGCATTCTTCCTTAAAAGGAGTATTATCAGTAATTGTCATTAAGTCCACGATTTATTTGCCTTTTTATTAAGTATTAATGTACTCAAAGTTGTTTTCTTTTCTAAGGAACTCTTTTCTACTTCAAAATTTCCGTTTGCGTGACATTCTGCTTAGCGATTTTTTGGGTTTTTTTTTTCAACCGCTACATGCGTTAAAGGCAGTTTCGAGCGTAGACTGAACGCAACTTCGTTTTTCTTAACAAAAATTTGTGGGTTTTGCTCGATGCTCAGAAATTATAAAAGTTAGAAGGCTGATAATGACATGCTGTACCCTGCACCACTTTTACTGGAAGGGAGATATTAAGTTTATGAAGATGTATGCAACACTTAGAAGGACTTAAGGTAGACCAAACTTTTATAATGCCAATCGAATTAGAACCACTTTCAGAATCACTTTTTGTCCGTCTATCCATCCATATAATTTTGTGTTCAACTTGCAGGCCTTAATTTTTAAGGTATTTTGAAGAAATTTGTTACACTGACTGGCTAGTGAAAATGGTTCGACTCCATCTGCGACCACTTCCCATATAAACACTTATTTTGAAAGGTCGTTATATGAAAAAAGCTTGCAAAATTCAACAGCGGCAAAAGCCGCTTGGTAGCATTATATCAGATTTCTAAATTTTTGTGAAAAATTTAAATCGCGTATAACCGGTGCTTCGAAAACTAATTCTTTATAGGATAAAAGAGTCCAATTTTCAATATTGAGTGGTAAAAACTGTGACAGTTGAGTCTTTAGAAAAATGTGTCATTTTTAAAATTTTTTTCGTGATAAAAATTGACCCATAGTAAAAATGTAGCATAACAGTTAAAAAGAAATTTGACTCCTATAGATCTCATTGGGATTCCTATGAAAATCAAGTCTTTACATGACGACAAAATCTAACTTATAAATTTTTATGATAGCAACAAATGAAAAATAGCGTAATTTTTGTAGATATCTTTTGGCATTGTTTACATTTCATTACAAAGATGGTCCATGAATTTGAAGTTTATTTGTTGTATGAACTCGTTTCCGTTCTAAAAAAGTATTTTTAATTGATTTAAAAAAGACAAGTTGATGACAACGTGCTGGTTGTAATATATGTATACGAATATTATTAGAAAATTTTAATTTAAGATAGAACTCTACAGTTCCACTTCAATATACTCAGGTTTCTTGTCCGCCTGCTTACTACAATCTATAGTCCATTGCGTATTGTTCTCCCTCGGTTAGTGTACAAAATTCTTTGTAAAACGCTTCTGAATGTTTCGCTGGTAATGCGAATAAAAGTCGTCCTGAAGTTTCCACGGATGATCAAGCTGTTAATGGATATTTCTAGTTTGCTATGAACGAGATAATAAGTTAACTTACGTATGCCTTTAGATAACGAATTCCACTTAGTTAGTGGTCATTTGATAATAGACTGCAATCCTATTGGAAGTGTTTATGACGTCAGTGCGAGAGCCACTAGAAAGACAATTGAAAACATGAGAAGTAAACTCTAACAGATTGGTGACCGTAAATCTTCCTTTTCGAAAGCCATGTTGAAATGGAGAATTATACGATTTGGCAAAGGCCAAATGCTGAGTCACAATTCGCTCGAACACAAGTTGTCTACTTCTACTTTCGTGAATAGGAACAACGAAACTTCTCTTCCAACATAAAGGGAAAATACCTAAATTCAAGGACTGGTTAAAAATCTTTGAGATAAAACCGCAAAGCTCGAGATGTAAGTACACATAATGGAATTCCATCAGGTCCAGGCGCACAATTATATTTTAGAGAACTCAACCCTTCAAACACGTCATTTTCAGAAATAATTAAATTAGGAATTGAACCCAAATTACTAATCGGATATGGGTAGTTTGCCGATAAATCGAAATTAGCATTCGAAAAGTTTTGTCGGAATTATTCCGCAAAGAGATTTGGGGTTTCAGCATCATCCCAGGACTCAGAGTCATTAAAAGAAACATGTGAGGGATTTATCGAGATTTTTCTTTTGGAATTAACGAACTTAAAAAAGTATTTCGGACCAGCAAATAGAGAGGATTTAACAATATACACTTGACGCTCTCTCGACACTTGGCGTATTAGTCGCGTTAGTTCTATCCGTTTTAACCGTACTCAGACCTACTAATACCTCATTCAGAGATGACACAGCTTCATCCACCATGCCCTCTTCCTTGAACCCACAGAATCCTTCTATTTCGAAACGTATCATTTCCGTTAGTCATTTCCGTTAGTTCGTTTTGTACTCGTAACCGCGGCGAGCGTATATCCTTGTTCTTGCGCATACAAATATCTATCTTTATCTGTCTCACGACACTTTCCCACGGAGTAATATAAATATATGCCGATGGGATATTATCTTCATTAAAACTTTTCTTTTTTTTTCTTGAGATATAAACTACAATTATTTTCTTTTTAAATTATTAAAATGAAGGTTTTCTGATTGGTAGACTGACTGGAGAAGACGGGAAAGATCGTTGTAACTTTGGTCCTTACAATGCTAAAAAAAGTTTGGTAGTTTTTCGACTACGGGCCATTTTTGAAATTTTAATCGCTTAGAGAAGAGTTAGTGAGAATCGTTGGCTAATTTTTTCCAAAATCGTTTACATGCTTTACAGAAAAACCACCATCT